TGACACGTCTTTGAACGTCGCCGTGGTCAACATTCTCTGGAAGCTGGTCGCGTCGGAGGAGCTGAGCCTCACCGACACCAAGGTCCTGAACGCCATCACTACACTTTCACAAGGTGTCGAGGTTGCCCAGGGCATGGCAATTCTTGATGCCGCTCCATGGCTTAGCAACGTGTTGCCAAGTTTTGTTTTCAATAAGGCAAAGATTGAAAAGCAATTTGAAAGTGTAGTGGATGATGTGTTCATGCCCTCCATCAAGAAACATCTTGAAGATCTTGATACGCTCAGTGAGCCTCGCGACTACATGGAGGCCATGCTTCGAGAACAGCAGGAACGACCGGACCTGCTGACCGACCGGCACCTGCTCATGTCGGTGATGGATCTGTTTTTCGCTGGCAACGACACGACGGCTACGACCCTGCGCTGGGCATTCTGCTTCCTGTGCAGCCGCCCAGAGGTCCAGCGGCGTCTGCAGGCCGAGCTTGACGGCCAGGTGGGCCGGCAGCGGCTGCCGTCCCTCTCGGACAGGTCGCGTCTCCCGTACGTCGAGGCCGTGCTGCTGGAGACGCAGCGGTTGGCCGACATCACACCCCTGCTGGTGATGCATCAGTCGCTGGCGCCTGTCGACGTCGGCCGACACCGGCTGCCGGCTGGCGTCCAGGTCATCGCTAACGTACACAGCGTGCACCACAGCGAGCGGCTGTTCCCCGAGCCGCTGCAGTTCCGGCCCGAGCGTTTCCTGGACGCCGACGGCAAGTTTCAGCCGGACAAGAACGTCATGCCGTTCTCAGTGGGCAAGAGACAGTGTGTGGGCGAGAGTATGGCGCGGGCTGAGCTGTTCCTCTTTGTCACCTGCTTCATGCAAAAGTTTACCTTCCATTGGCCAGAGGGGTTCACACACGACCTGGGAGAAGATCCAAAAGGCACGTTCCTTCGCAACCCCAAACCGTACAAGCTCGTACCAGAGAGGCGCTGAGGGACGGCGAGGAGCAGGGGGCCAGCCGCTCTCCTCATCCAAAAGTCCGGGGCACACGCGCGCGTGATGATGTCTGTGATCTTTGCTTACGATTAAAGGCCACCAAACGCACGTAGAAAATTGTGTGGTTCCGGAGAGACGTATGAAATGCTGCAATTTCTTTCGATCACAGCAGAATCACATTTCCGATTGTGAGTAAACATCGCTTCTAGCACAATGACTGTGCGTCTCCGAAATTCATTTTTTGCACCTAAACTGATCGTTTAGATTCTTTATAACTTGGTTGGGCTGGTCGTAGTTGGGACACGTACGCGGAAACGAGCCATACTGGTCCATGGCTTCGAGAACCTGAAGAGCCTCCACATATGACGAAGTGAACCGGCGGGCCGCCATTTTGTATCCTTACGACATTTCAGGTTACAAGTGTGTGCTCGTTGAATGTGTTTTTGGAAAGGGAGGGGCAAAACGCGATATTTTACATCGCTCTGTTTCTAAGTGGCGTTACAAGACCAATCGTTCGAGCTTGCTAAGCCGTTGCCCTCCCACTGACCACGCCTCCTCCCCTTTGCCCCGTGAACCGCTGATGCTGATTGCAACTTAAGTTTTAAGACGATAAGGGCAGTTCTGATAGCGGGCTGACGTGTGTAAGACATGTTGTGAACTGATATGTTGTGAACTGATATGCGCACTGCGCCGACGTGGACATCGGCGTAGAACTGTTGAATTTGCGGTGAGTTTGCAATGAGTTTCAGTTTGCAGTGATTGAGTCGCAGGTAACTAGTATGCTCGTACGAACGTGGCTTCTAACCGGTTTACACTTGCGCCGCAGGTATCGATGCGCATCGGCGACGTTTCCGTCTGGGTGTAAAGAGGGCTCCAGCACATGCTTTGGGCCTGAGGTGTGTATTTAGTCGGTGTATCATTTGCAGGTTTAGATTGATTTCGTGCTCGTTTCTCGTTTGTTGGGTCACTTAATTTGCTATTATCTTGAGGTTTAATTTAGTGTTAGTCAATCCATGCTATTATCGCATTCATTTTGTATTGCTAATTTTAGTCTCTGTCTGTCGGTCTCCGCTCTGTTTAGTTCTAGTCTAGTCTGTCTAATTCCGAGGCTTCGTTTTTTTTTCCCGTCAGCGTCCACGAGGAGTTCGGGCGCGGTGTTGGCGATGGGCGGTCATGAAATAAAGTGCACCTGAAACCTCCGTGTTTTCGACGTGGCGCCCGTCTACAACTGCTGACAGCGGTGGGAAAGAGGCTCCACGCCGCGACTGCTGCCGCGTTGACGAGGTTTTTGCGCTCATTCGCCTGCCCGGTGACGCCTGCCTTATCTGGGATCGCTGAGCGCGCCTCTGCGGCCGCCCACCGCCACCCGCCGGCCGGCCGGCCGAGTGACCTCCGGCCGGGCCTGTCTGGTGCGTGCCTCCTGCGCGGGGCGCCGCGCTGCGTCTGAGCTGACGGCCGGTCCGGCTGTGCCGTGCGCAGCAGCGGCAGTAGCTGTGGCTGATTGCTGCCACGTGATACCGGGATGCTGGCGGCACTGTCTGGGTACCTGCGCTGCTGCAGTGGTCGGTTAAGTATCTAGTCTTGCTTCATCGTTTTTGTTTGGACAGATTTTCTTTCCTGATAGCATGAACTCTAAGCCTCCCGTTTCGGCTGATGTGGCTCCTGCTGCGCATTTGAGATTCGAGATGGCTGGTCTGACGATGCCGAGTTTTGATGGACGTGGCTCGCTGAGACGTTTTCTTGGTGATTTTCATTGATATGCCATGCTCCGAGAATGGACTGGGAAGCAAAGGTCAAGTGTCTTCCCGCTGTCACTCACTGGCATTGCTCGTGACGCATTCGATAGCTTGCCCACTCAACAGACTGCCACCTTCGAGACGGCGGCTGCAGAGTTGAGAGGTGCTTTCGGTGCTAAGACCGTGAAAGATCACCACCTCGCCTTCCGTGAGTTGACGTTTGGTGTGGGCGAGAGTCTCGATGCGTTTGTCATCAGATTGAGAAAGCTGATGGCTTTGGCTTCCCCTACCCTCACCCATACGGGTTCACTGATGTTCAGCCATTTCCTGGCCACCTTGCCCGCTGACTTAGATGTCGCTGTTATTGCGGACGGTATTTCGTCCTTTGACGATGCCATTACTTAAGTGCGTAACCTGATTGCTTCACAGGCATATCTAAAGCAGTATCAGCTCAGTGTCCGCCGTCTCGGCTCTGACGGTGAACTGGCTGTGTTGACGAGGAGGGTGATGAGCTTAGAGGCCGCAGTTCAGGCGGCCTCTCGTCCCGGTGGCACTTCTGCCGGTCAGAGCGACCGCGGCTCGCGGTTATGTCTGTGCTGCGGTGGGCAGAATCATATCCGCGTTCGCTGCGGAATGCGGGACCGGGAGTGCTTCAAATGGCACTCAGTTGGCCACTTGGCTGTGATGTGCCCCGAAACATGTCCTGAGCAGTCTTTTCCGCAGGGAAACGAGTTGGGGTCCGGCCGTCGAGAGAGCAGTCTCCAGCGAAGCGTTCCACCACCGAGCGATCGGACTGCTTAAACTCCGATGGCGTTTAGGCTGAGTCACCATCGAATGTAATATCACTGACCGATGACATGCGTCTGACGGCGCGCCTCGCTGGTGTGGATTGTCAGTGTCTTCTTGACACAGGTAGTTCGATCAGCGTGTTGCATAAGTCCGTATTTCATGCAATGCCAAACCTGACACTGACGAAGACGTCTGTACAGGCCCGTACTGCGTCGCATTGTGAGCTCCCATTTCTTGGTCGAACTGTGGTGCCTTTCGACATTGCTGGCGTCAAGTGCACCATACCATTTTTCGTTTCTGATGTCACTGACGTGCTTTGTTTGCTCGGTGTTGATTTTTTGCAGCATTACCCCTACGTTATTGACTTGCGTGCCAAACAGCTCTTTGTTATCCCCGTCGAGGCCGTTCGTTCAGTGTCACCTCACGCAGTGACGATTGGCGACGTTTCTTTCAGTGCTGACCGAGTCATCTTTCCTGGCACTGAGGTTATTTTAAAAGGTTTTGTGCAGAATAGTTTTTACAATGGCGCTGCTCTCGTCGAACCCGTTGATTAACTGAATGGTTTCCTGGTCACCAGTGCACTCGTGACTGTCGCTGGCTCCAGAGTGTCATTCGTTGTTCGAATTGTGGCGACTGAACCCACTACTATTCCCAAAAAGCGTGCCCTGGCCAGGCTGGAGGTTGGTTTTGCCGAGCAGCCACACGGTTCGAAAGATGAGCTGAGGACTGAGCAAGCTGTCAAACTGCGGTCTGACCAGTGTGGTTCCGACCTGTCGCCTGAGCAGAGAAGTAAGTTAGAGTCGCTACTCGAACGAAACGCTGACATGTTTGACGGACATATCGGGTTTACGGATTTGGTCACCCATGAGATTGATACCGGTGACCATCCTCCCATTCGTCAGCACCCCAGGCGTGTTCCACCTCACCTGGCGGATGAACTGCATTCTCAGCTCCGTGAGCTAGTCAGTCAAGGTATTTTGGAGGAGTATGATGGTGCATGGTCGTCCCCAACCTGTCTGGTGAAGAAGAAATCTGGTGCATACAGACTGGTGGCTGATTTGCGCCGCCTGAACGCCGTGCCGAATGTACCAGTATATCACATACCGAGAGTTGATAATTCGCTTAAGGCATTGGCTGGCTCTGACACATTCTGCCAGTTGGGTATGAACAGTGCATATTTTTAGGTTGCCATGGATTCTAAAGACAGGGACAAAACTACCATGTACCACTTCCAGGCTGGTGACGCGGTGTATCTTTTCAAGAGTGTAGCTCAGCGAGGCCATTACTACAAGTTTGCCAGGCCATGCAAGCCTGCGGTGGTTATGGCTAACCTGCCTGACCTCAATTACAGGGTGAGGGTGTTGGGAGGGAAAAAGTCTGTCGTCGTTCACCACAATAGACTGAAAGCTCGTTCCGATGACCCCTCAGTGCCTGTCGCAGGCCCAGACATAACGATTCCTGGCTCGGCTTTATCTGCGGGCCCCGAGGTTGGAGATCAGCCTTCACCCCAATCGCCTCAGCCACCAGACGGTGCGCCACCGGAGGGCGACTCGTCCTTGTCGCCGTTTGCTCGTGACAAATTTTCAGCCGGCAGGAATTTGGTGACCGCGGCTGCTGCTGTGGGTGGCCCGGTGACTCTCTCCACAGGAATGCCTGTTCCGTCAGAGGTGCAGGATTTATCCGCTGCGGTGCCGGAGGGACATGTGTGTGAACACACCCCCGATGTGCTTAATGTTCCTGTTTCTGCTCCGGATGGTGGAGATGGACCACTGACCGCACCTGTGTTGGTGCCTGATGGGCCCGTGACCGCTCCTGTGTTGGTCCCTGATGCGTCTCCGATGGCTCCCGCTCCTGTGCCAGGCCCCCGGCGCTCTGACAGAGCTTCTAGGCCACCGGATCGCTACTGTCCGAGTTGGGTCGTTAGTTAAGATGTGCTTAAGTTTGGCTAAATGTGGCTGAAATGCGATGAAAATAGATGAAAGGCGATTGGATTATATCAGGACAAAATGTTCTGTCTGGGTGCTACTCTGGTGTCGTGTTTGGCAATGCCTTCGCAGCCCTACCGGCGTAGCGCTACCGGTTGGTGTGTCCTGTTAACGTGACAGTGCACATGGGCATGTCATGTCATTGGAGTGTTGTTCACTGACGACACGAACGCTGTTTCCCAGTCCCCCAGTCATGCCTCAAGCTGAAGCTGTTCTTTATTGTTCCAGTTAGTGAAGCTGAAAGCCACATCGCACGCGGGTCGATGATTGTGTGCGATGTGGGTTAACTTACACCGAACTGTCGGCTGCGTGTGCTTCGTATGTCGTGTGTTTTGCCTGGCGTTGGCAGATGGGTCGTTGCTGCGGCCGTGCTGCCCGCGGCTGTGCTGCCCGCGGCCGAGCTCCGCGGCCGAGCTCCGTGGCCGTGCTGTCCGCGGCCGGGCTCCGTGGCCGAGCTCCGTGGCTGTGCTCCGCGGCCGAGCCCTTCGGCCGAGCTCTTCGGCAGAGATGTATGCGAATGAGCTCTGCGGCCGAGCTCCGCGTCGGTGCCCTGCAGCCGTGCTCTGCGATCGTGCGCTGCGACGGAAGATTGCATAGCGATGTCTTCTCTTTTGTTAACTGGGTCGGGTGTAGTCGGTGTATCGTTTGCATGTCTAGTTTGATTTATTGCTCGTTTCTCATTTGTTGAGTGACTTGGTTTGCTATTATCTTGAGGTCTGATTTAGTGTTACTTAATCCATGCTATTTTCCTATTCATTTTGTATCGCTAATTTTAGTCTGTGTTCTGTCGATTTCCGCTCTGCTTAGTTCTAGGCCCAGTCTGTCCATTTCCGAGGTTTTGTTGTGTCCCCGTCAGCGTCCACGAGGAGTCGAGGCGCGGTGTTGGCGAGGGGCGGTCAGGAAATATAGTGCACCTGAAACCTCGGTGTCTTCAACGTGGCGGCCGTCTACATATAAATAGTGCGTGGTGTTCACGTTTAGAGATGGAGACAGCCATGGTTGATGAACATGTCCGACTGTCATTAGGTTCCCCTTAAATATCAACATTGACTGCTTGGATTCCGGTACGGGATGTTGTTGAGAAGAATTTAGTTCAAGTAACTGATCAGCGCATGCTAACCGGGAGGCATTATCAGATGTGGTTACCTTAATGCCGCCTGTCGCCAATCTATCAAACGCGCATTGGATATTTGTTATCTCATAAACCTTTGCTGAGCACCAAGAGCAAAATTGTTCACCTGCTCTCCAGGCATTATCAAGTTGGGGTACATAGAACCTGGAGTGCAGCAGCACTGGCAGATATGCCAACCCATGGTGCATCCCTCTGCAACAAACCGGGTGGCGAATAGTGCAAATTACCGTCAACGGATGTCCTGCAATAGCATTACCCGCTAGAAGGCAGCAGCTAAACCTTGGTGTGTACCAGGCTAGCTTCATCTGTCATCAAAATGGCTGGTCGACGTTTATGAACGTCTTTTCACCGGTGACCTGGGACTGAGAATAGTGCAAAGTTCCGTCAACAGGGGCCCCTTACATAAAATCGCCCGCTAGATAGCGGTAGCTAAACTTTGGCTTGTCTCAGCTCAACGTTATCGTTCATTAAAATGCCTTGCCGCAGCCTAAGAACGTCGCTTCACGTACGACAAGTTTTAAAGTAATCCTAAAATGCTCAGTAAACTCCTTTGTTGCTATCAGAGAAGCTCTGCCTCCTATGGGAACTCCATCATTATCGACCTGAGAATGGCTAACACTTAAATGGCGACGTACACCAGGGGTGCCTGTAGTGTAGTGGTTAACGCGTCTAGGTTAACACGTCTGCGTCAACCACTGCGCGTCTTGGAAACCAGGGGTACGGGGTTCGATTCACTGCGGTACCCGTCATTCCTGCCAGCGCGAGAGGCAGGCGACTCCACATAGCTTCAGCAGCTGAGTGCGTCGTAAAGCCCCAATGACACGTACACACACGCAGGAGACGTGTACCAGCTTGAAAGCGTCCTGGGCTTTGTTCTAAAATCGCGGAGGACTGGTATTTTCAATACCCACCACCTATTCGCGCATTAAATTTGTACATATGTGGAGGTGAGCTTGTCAGGAGACACTGGACTGGGCTTTTTTTACTTTAAAATTGCACACTGGAAGCATTTGCAGATGTGTTGGAATGCGGTTCGAATGTTGGCAAGACGGATTAGATGATGAGAGTGAAAACCTTGCAAAGAACGAGGATTGTGTGGATACCAATGACTGTTTGTTTTGGATTTGATATCGCTTGCGCTTATGATCATTTCGACGAAAAATGTGCTGTGCTGCTCTCGAGAAAATAAAACAATGATATAATACGCCAGTCTCATATTATGCAGCGTTCATCATGTCCTCCATCTCGTACACACTGAGTTGAGATGACCGACGACCGCATGTTCGTTATGGTGCAGCACCAAATGCGCACAAAAAGTGGTTACGCGAAAATAAAACACAACCAAATGGTGCTTTATTTAGCAGACACGTGCACAATGCTATTCTGGTACTTCAAGCCCCAGAGATTCTATCTTGTCATCATCACTACATTGCTTTCAATCACGATGGGTATGAGCACGCCATATCATGTGGTATGCCGGCTGAACTGCCGGAGAACATCCTGGGTGCTGGCATGCATTGCACGCGATTCATATCATGCCCGCAACGCCTGAGGCCTTATTTTGACGCAATGTATTAAAGAGATGTGTAGAGGAGGCAATCTCAGTGAACTGCTAAAATTATTTAGGAGAGACCAAGGACCAATCCACCCCATGAGGACCGGTGGGGGGGGGGGGGGGGGGTCGTCTGGTACAGGGCCAAGTTATTGTTGCCTGTAGCTACTATCCCACAATGAACAGGGTTGCATGTTTGCGTACCCGCGGACACCAAACCGCTTTGGTCGATCTCCAGGCCCACAACAGGATGAGAGCAGGAAAGATCATCCTCCACAGACACATCCTCACGTCTGGCACGGTCCGGTGTCAGCGCAGCGTGCGTACGCTCCTCTCGCCTCCGCTGACGAGGGGCTCGTTACTCGCGTGTGCAGACGAGAGCCTCCGCTGACGAGGGGCTCGTCACTCGCGTGTGCAGGCGAGAGCCTCCGCGGGCGAGGGGCTCGCCACTCGCGTGTGCAAGCGAGAGTCCTCCGTTGACAAGGGGCTCGCCACTCGCGTGTGCAAGCAAGAGTCTCCGCGGGCGAGGGGCTCGCCACTCGCGTGTGCAAGCGAGAGCCTCCGTTGACAAGGGGCTCGTCACTCGCGTGTGCAGGCGAGAGCCTCCGCTGACGAGGGGCTCGTCACCCGCGTGTGCAAGCGAGAGCCTCTGCGGGCGAGGGGTTTGTCACTCGCGTGTGCGAGCGAGAGGCACGGATGCTGCTGCGCACAGGCCGTTCTGCGGCCGCCGCGGTGGCTCTCAGTCTAGTTTTCCTTAACACCGTGCCGCACGCGTTGCTGGTTCCCCTTAGTTGTTCTCCCTGGGGTTTTTCACTGGGTCGGTCTACTGTCCAGAAGTGACGCCACCAAGCCTTCTCGCTGAGATGTGGGAAGGGAAGCAGGTGCTCACTGGGCATCCTGTGTAACTGGTATGCTTTTTGTAGCTAAGAACCATGGGCATGAGAACATCAGTGATAACCGGTTTCAAAGGTATAATGTTCTTACAGAATGGAAACCAGGCACTAAGAACCACTCCCGTGGTCCGCTAAAAAGTGGTAGCCAGAATCCAGGGTTTTGCTTTGTCGAATGAACCATTGGGAATCTGGATCCAGAGTTGTTTTGTAGAGGGGGCCAGTGGGAGCAAGGAACTAAAACTGAGAACCGGGCAAATGCTGGCAGCAGTGCGAAAGAGTGGCCAGCAGCACCTACGCCGCGATCGTACGACTCAGCAGTACGATAAAACGGCACGTGAGCAGTACGGTGTACCGCAATAACTCCATACCGTGCCGAAAGCGTTGCCTTTGCTTCGGTCTACGGTTCCTGGAGCTTGGCCTCTTTCCTTGGGGTTCGTGTCGGCATATTATCTCGGCAGGGCATGTCTTTGCATATCAGTGCGGATTTTGGGTCTCGCCAATCGGAATTATACAAGAGGCGTACTACTTTAAGAGGGTGCTACTGCAGTCCGTCCGCACATGATGGCGACATCTCACAGCAATGCATGAGTCTTATTCATCGGGCAAGAGTCTTGCAGCTCACCAGACATTGTCAGCACGATGTGTGTTTTTTTTAATGAGTGTGAATTGCATTATCCGGACTCGTGTATGAGGTGCACTGCGTTAATAAACGTGTATGTACGTACCGAAAACGCTGGCTTTGCTTCCGTCTTCGTTTCCAGGGGCTTGGTCCATATCTTCAGCATTGCTATTGGCATATTACCTCGGCAGAGTATATCTCCGGATGTCAGAGCGATTTCAGGCCTCGCTCGTTGGAATTGTACAAGAGGTGCACTACTTTAAAGGGGTGCTACGACAGTCCCTCCGCACGACATGATGGCAGCATCTCATGGCAACGGGGTAGTCATATTAATTGAATCAAAGTGTTGTAGCTTAAGCGACATCGTCGTCACGATGTGTTTGGTTCTAATAAGTGTGAATCGCATTATCCGGACTCGTGTATAAGGTGTACTGCGCTAACAGACCTAAATGCATCGCACCGAAAACGTTGGCTTGGCTTCGGTGTTCGGTTCCCGTGGCTTGGTCCGTTTTTTAAGATTGCTGGAAATGCTTCAGCTCAACCGACATTGTTGGCTCTTTCTCTAAGTTGTCTGTTTGGAAATATCAATTAAATTTTCACAACTGCCAACAAATTAGGAGTGCAGTGATCAGGTAAGAAGCACAAATAAGTACATTGATAGGGTAAGATTGTGGGCGACTTCCTGGTCTGCCCGCGATGGGCCGTAAGTTATCAAATATTTGATAAAAACGATCAAAATTATGTTATGTACGAAGGTTCAGCGCACCAACAGATACTTCGAGACACGAATGTGAAGAACTGGTACACTTTTCTTGGCCGCTCGTATGTCCGTGATTTGGTGCTTATGTTGCCCTTTTAGTACATGTTATAAATCGTCTGCTGTCTGCGTGTTAAAAATCACATCAGCGGTTTGCTGCCGAAATTATAATATTGTCAGATGCTAATTTCTTGAAGATGATAGGCAATCATGCGAACATTGTGAGTAGCAATGGTCGAATCGACGAAATGGATAATGCTTATTGCCTGCTCATTATTTTTGGTGCTAAGGAAGTCGTTTGGGTTGCATGATTTCAAACTTTGAAATTCAAAGTTGGGCAATTCTGATAACGCGAGCTGATTGTGCCCGTTTCGTACTACGCATAAAACGCTCCCAGTGGAGATTTTTCGTCTTCTAAAAAGGTTAAGTACTTGAAGAATCCCAATACCTTCAGAAAAGGCCAAGAAGAAAATGATTTCCTCGATGAGCCAGAGATGAGCCAGTGCACGTCGGTTGGAGAGCTGGCACACGTCGGCTGGAGAGCGAGGGTAAGCCGGCTGAAGTACGGCAAGGTCGGGTTGACAGCGGGCGACGCCGGCCTGACGTGTCTATCGGCTGGACGTCGGCACATACGAACATCGATGAGGGCGGCGTCGGCATGTCGATTGGGCAGTGGGTATCCAGCACCGGCAATATTTACACTTTCTAAGGTGTTGGATCGCAAGTAAGTAGTAGCAATGCATCCATATGTAGCGCTAGCAATTAGTATTGAGTTGACTTGTATTGGCACAGGTCACTGAATGAAACATAAGATCTTTCTGACTGCTTTTTTGTCTTAGCCATGGAAGCCCACGCCAGCCGAACGTTGACAGCAGTGATGATTTCCGCAATGACTTGATGACATTCCTCTCCAACTGGATAATATTTAGGAAACTACGCCTTTGCCCTTGCCTCATGCAATGAGGGAAAGAGCGCAATGCATGCACAAAATAATGCAAAAAATGAGCATGACTGTTCTCCATTATCTACCTCTTGTCCTGATGAAAATAGTACGAAGTGAGTGAAAATAAATAAATAAAAACCTGCAAAGAGGTAAAAAAGTGCATCACATCGGAAAGCACACGAGGGAAACGATTTTGTGACGAATGCCTTTAGAGAAAGCCAAGAAGGAGATGTTTTCCTTTCGGCAAACACCCGCGCAAATGTTCACGTTCGCCCGGATGGCGCTGCGACTGGTGCTGCAGCGATATGAGAGCCCCTGGCCCGTCTGATTACAGTCGCCTCGGCTGCAGCGATTTCAAGGTCACCAGGCGGGGCCGAGATTGACGATAGTTTGGCTGCGCAGTCGGCTGTTTCCACTGTGGAGGAGGCGGGCCGCCAGGTGCGCTCGGGATGATGTACCTCTGGCTGGTGATAGTCCTTTTAGCTGTGCTGCTGTGGGCCTGGAGGTCTACCAAGCGACCGGCGTGGAGCCCAAAGGGTGAGTAAACGTGCGGTCCACGGGTGCCAGGTGAAATACTTTTCAGGTTTGCATCTACGTCGGTGTCGCGTTTAGACATAGGCGGATCCGGGGGGGGGGGGGGTTCACGTGGCTATGCCCCCCCTCCCAGACCTCTGAGAGTGTTTTGCCCCCCCCCCCAGAAAAAAACATTCCGAGAGCTTCATAAAAGTTTCGCGTACTTGCCGTCTGTTTTTACTTCAACCGTTTAAATTGTTTTGTTTAAACTTCTGTTTAAGATTAAAAGCATTTCGGTGTTTTTGTTTTGTTTGGAATGGTGTCCCTACTAGGTGCTCGCGAGAGGCATCATGCACTGGACCTCGGATCCCACACCAGCCAGCTGGCGACGGACGGTTGCCCCTCCCCCCAAAACTGCAAACTAGATCCACCCCTGCGTTTAGAGACCATCACGCACAAGAAACAGGCGTCTTCAAAGAGCGGTGAATGCGTCTTAGCTCTGTGTATACGTACGCAAAGTCGCAAACCAACGAATTATTTGCACAGAGATACCTAAAGATGCGTGCATTGATTTCTTCATATCCTTGCGTATAGTTGCTATGCGTCTGCAATACAGATAACACGCGCCCGGGTGGATGGTTGGATAGCCTTCGCTCGGGTGGGGGTCGGACAATTTGACCCCTCCTGAGATCTCAAGAACTAAGAAGGCTAGAGACACGAAATTCTCAGCGTGTGTTGACTGTTCGTTAACTCGCTTAGGGCAAAGTTTGAGGTCCTCAGGTTATGACCTTGGAGTCAAATAAGGTCAAACAAAATCAAATTCCAGGTTCGTCTTCAAAATGCCCCCAGAACCTAGGAAACGTCTGAGCAAAAAGATCATATGCCCACTTAAGGTCAGCGAACTCGTTTGACCTTTTGAAGATCATGATGACCAAGATCATACAAAACTACTTTGAGTTTTTAAGTTGAACAAGCGACAAATATTTTGATAGGCAGTATGTTCCTAGAAATAAAATGTTGATTTGGGTCATTTTAGGTCAGTGACCTATTCTGACCTCTAAGAACTCCATGGAAGATGTATAATGTGATTCCTGTTACTAATAATTTGGAAATGAGCAAACGAAACTACCTCATACAGCAAGCCCTAGAGTTATAAAACAGGCTGGTTTTGACGCTGGTCTGATCCTCATATCTGACCCTAGGACGATACAATTTGTTCTTTCAATTGTTGTGTTGCCTAAGAAGGCATTTCAGTGGTGTACGGCTTCGTCTAACACTTCGCTAACACTGCGTCAGATTGCACGATTCCCTGGAAATTGACTTTGCTGCAACCATGCCTAACTTTGACCTGCTATAAGTCAGCGGCCTTACAAGGTACGGCTAAATATTATTCCGGAAGATGGCCGACGACCGACGAAGATGATCGACCTTCGTGGTCGATTTGACCTCAACGGAGCGCGTGCTAATAGTTACCACATTGGAGATTCTCGAAACTAGGGGCCTTCTTATTATCCGGTCACCAATAGCGAATTGAAAAGAACCAAAATGAACACTACCAAATCGGATGTATCACAACTCAAATGAACATTTAAATACCGATGGCATCGTCGCCACCAATATGCACGTTTTCGCAAGGTTAGTGGAGTCGTTAGAGGTAATGCCTGCTTAAGGCACCAAATACAAGAATGAAATGCCCAGAAGGGATAGGATTCCCCAGGTTGGCCGAGGTTCCACCAAACCAGTGAAACGGATCATTGAGATATTGCAGGAAACCAAGAACTTGTGCTGGAATTTAGAATATTTAGTCCACCAGCAAATGCGACCAGATTTCAAGCGAAGCTGGCATCAAGTTGCGAATGTTTTGGGACGAAGACGCCATGATTTACCCTGGAGTTGGGTCCTGAGAGCGAGTTGCTGAACAACATGGAGTTTCCCACATACCTACAAATCCAGGGGCGCAGCCCCTGGATTTGTAGGTATGTGGGAAGCCGCTGTGAGGTGCGTTTGGTCCAAAAGATGCAACCCTAGTTCGCACATCAGTTTTCTGCGGCTAACAGGATGCTCCATATCCCAATATATCGAGCATTTGGTCAGTACTTACCTCAGTAGTATCACACCGAAGGTGACAACGTAGTCAAACAAAAGTGAGATGGACCAATTAACATGAGGGTTCATTCCGTAGTCAACCAAATAAAAAATTGGACTATTGAACCAGCATAATACCTGATGTGTGATTTTCACGTTTTGCGACAACAATCATTCTTATTTACAGGACCACCACTGATGCCGTGGGTGGGAAACCTCTTCTCCATGGACTTGAAGCACGCCCACCACACCTACGCCGAATGGGCCAAGATGTATGGTGCCATCTATCATGTCAAGATTGGCGTCATGCACCAGGTTGTGATCAGCGATCCCGACTTGATCCGAGAAGCCTTCAGTCGACTTGAGCTCAGCGGTCGACCCGACACTCAACTATTTCAGTTTATTGTGAAGGGAACGGGACTAGTCTCTTCCCAGGGTGAGTTATGGCAGGAATCCAGGCGTCTGACGCTTCACCACCTGCGCAACTTGGGCATGGGCAAGTCCAAACTGGAAGAGTATATGCACTATCAGATCACCAGTTACATGGACGAGATTCTGGCGCCGAACTGCGGCTCTGAGCTTGCCTTTGACACGTCTTTGAACGTCGCCGTGGTCAACATTCTCTGGAAGCTGGTCGCGTCGGAGGAGCTGAGCCTCACCGACACCAAGGTCCTGAACGCCATCACTACACTTTCACAAGGTGTCGAGGTTGCCCAGGGCATGGCAATTCTTGATGCCGCTCCATGGCTTAGCAACGTGTTGCCAAGTTTTGTTTTCAATAAGGCAAAGATTGAAAAGCAATTTGAAAGTGTAGTGGATGATGTGTTCATGCCCTCCATCAAGAAACATCTTGAAGATCTTGATACGCTCAGTGAGCCTCGCGACTACATGGAGGCCATGCTTCGAGAACAGCAGGAACGACCGGACCTGCTGACCGACCGGCACCTGCTCATGTCGGTGATGGATCTGTTTTTCGCTGGCAACGACACGACGGCTACGACCCTGCGCTGGGCATTCTGCTTCCTGTGCAGCCGCCCAGAGGTCCAGCGGCGTCTGCAGGCCGAGCTTGACGGCCAGGTGGGCCGGCAGCGGCTGCCGTCCCTCTCGGACAGGTCGCGTCTCCCGTACGTCGAGGCCGTGCTGCTGGAGACGCAGCGGTTGGCCGACATCACACCCCTGCTGGTGATGCATCAGTCGCTGGCGCCTGTCGACGTCGGCCGACACCGGCTGCCGGCTGGCGTCCAGGTCATCGCTAACGTACACAGCGTGCACCACAGCGAGCGGCTGTTCCCCGAGCCGCTGCAGTTCCGGCCCGAGCGTTTCCTGGACGCCGACGGCAAGTTTCAGCCGGACAAGAACGTCATGCCGTTCTCAGTGGGCAAGAGACAGTGTGTGGGCGAGAGTATGGCGCGGGCTGAGCTGTTCCTCTTTGTCACCTGCTTCATGCAAAAGTTTACCTTCCATTGGCCAGAGGGGTTCACACACGACCTGGGAGAAGATCCAAAAGGCACGTTCCTTCGCAACCCCAAACCGTACAAGCTCGTACCAGAGAGGCGCTGAGGGACGGCGAGGAGCAGGGGGCCAGCCGCTCTCCTCATCCAAAAGTCCGGGGCACACGCGCGCGTGATGATGTCTGTGATCTTTGCTTACGATTAAAGGCCACCAAACGCACGTAGAAAATTGTGTGGTTCCGGAGAGACGTATGAAATGCTGCAATTTCTTTCGATCACAGCAGAATCACATTTCCGATTGTGAGTAAACATCGCTTCTAGCACAATGACTGTGCGTCTCCGAAATTCATTTTTTGCACCTAAACTGATCGTTTAGATTCTTTATAACTTGGTTGGGCTGGTCGTAGTTGGGACACGTACGCGGAAACGAGCCATACTGGTCCATGGCTTCGAGAACCTGAAGAGCCTCCACATATGACGAAGTGAACCGGCGGGCCGCCATTTTGTATCCTTACGACATTTCAGGTTACAAGTGTGTGCTCGTTGAATGTGTTTTTGGAAAGGGAGGGGCAAAACGCGATATTTTACATCGCTCTGTTTCTAAGTGGCGTTACAAGACCAATCGTTCGAGCTTGCTAAGCCGTTGCCCTCCCACTGACCACGCCTCCTCCCCTTTGCCCCGTGAACCGCTGATGCTGATTGCAACTTAAGTTTTAAGACGATAAGGGCAGTTCTGATAGCGGGCTGACGTGCGTAAGACATGTTGTGAACTGATATGTTTTGATCTCGTATGCGCATTGCGCTGATGTGGATATTGGCGTAGAACTGTTGAATTTGCGGTGAGTTTGCAATGAGTTTCAGTTTGCAGTGATTGAGTCGCAGGTAACTAGTATGCTCGTACGAACATGGCTTCTAACCGGTTTACACTTGCGCCGCAGGTATCGATGCGCATAGGCGACGTTTCCGTCTGGGTGTAAAGAGGGCTCCAGCGCATGCTTCGAGCCTGAAGCGTATAAGCAGTGCGTGGTGTTCGCGTTTAGGGATAGATACAGCCACGGTTGATGAACATGCCCGACTGTCATTGAGTTATCCTTAAATCGCTGAAAATCGGCATTGACTGCTTGGATTCCGGTACGGGATGTTGTCGAAAAGAATTTAGATCAAGTAATTGAGAGCGCATGCTAACAGGGAGGCATAATCAGATGTCGTTACCCTAATGTCACCTATCGTCAATCTATCAAACGTGATTGGGTGTTTGTTATCTCATAAACCTTTGCTGAGCACCAAGAGCAAAACTGTCCACCCGCTCTCCAGGCATTATCAAGTTGGGGTACATAGAACCTAGGGTGCAGCAGCACCGGCAAATGCGCCAACCCATGGTGCCTCCCTTCGCGAAAAAGCGAGTGGCGAATAGTGCAAATTTCCGTCAACAGGTGTCCTCAAATAACATTACCCACTAGACGACCGTAGCTGAGCCTTGGTGTGTACCAGCCCAGCTTCATCTGTCATCAAAATGGCTGGTCAAAGTTTATAAACGTCTTTTCACCGGTGGCCTGGTGCTGAGAATAGTGCAAAGTTTCGCCAACAGGGTCCCTTACATAAAATTGCCCGCTAAATAGCGGTAGCTAAACCGTGGCTTGTGTCAGCTCAACTTTATCGTTCATTAAAATGGCTTGCCGCAGCCTATGAACGTCCCTTCACTTACCATAAGTTTCAAAGTGATCCTAACATGCTCATTTACTGCATTTGTTGTTGTCAGAGAAGCTTTGCCTGCTATGGGAACTCCGTCATTGTCGACCTGAGAAGAACTAACGCTTAAATGGAGATGCATGCCGTCTTGAGCGCGTTCTGGCTTTGTTCTAAAATCACGGAGGATTGGTATTTCCAATACTCACCACCGGCGCACCCTATTCGCGCATTAAATTTGTACAGATGTGGAGGTAAGTTTGTCAGAAGACACTGGACTGGACTTGTTAGACTTAAAAATCGCACTCTGGAAGCATCTGCAAATGTGTTTGAATGCGGTTCGAATGTTGGCAAGACGGATTAGATAATGGGAGTGAAAGCTTTGCACAGAACGAAGCCTGTGTAGATACTGATGTTTGTTTATTTTGTTTCCGGCATTGCTTGCGCTTATGATCATTTTCACGGAAAATGCGTTGTACTGCTCTCGAGAAAATAAAGCCATGATATAATAAGCCAGTCTCACATTATGCAGCGTTCATCATGTCCTCCATCTTAGACACACTGAGGTGAGACGACCGACGACCACATGTTCATTCGTTTTGGCGCAGCACCAAATGCACACAAAAAAAGAGTTACGCGACAATAAAACCCAACCAAATGGTGCTTCATTTAGCAGATACGTGCACAATGTTGTTCTGGCACTTGAAATCACAGATATTCCATATTGTCACCATCAATACGTTGTTTTCAATCGCGATGGGTATGGGCACGCCATACCATGTAGTATGCCGGCTGAACAGCCAGAGAACATCCTGAGTGCGGGCATGCACTGCACGCGATTGATATCATGCCCGCAACGCCTGAGAGCTTTATTTCCGATTACGAACGACGTGTGTTGGAAATTAGATGACCATGGTATGTATCGATTGTTTGTGTAATTAATGGCCAAGGCGTACAGATTTGCATTTGGCTAGCGCAAAGCATCCCTCATCTACCTGAAAGGGCAACCCGTAATTCACATCCTACTCTTTGAAAACTCCCCTTGTTACCAGCTCCGCAAGCGCATCTGCCATCATAGTTTGACTGCATTGTAATAATCGTACTTTTGTTAAAACTGGTGACTAGCCCCAGGTAGCAATTACTTCTGTAAACGTTTCCGCGTGTGCAAACGAGAGCCCCGGATGCTGCTGCGCAATGGCCGTTCTGCCGCCGCCGCGGTGGCCCTCAAAATAGTTTTCCTAACACTGTGCTACACGCGTTGCTGGTTTTGTTGAGTCGTCCTCCCCGGGGGTTTGTCGCTGGAACGGTCTGATATACCAGCCCTGAAGGAGGCCGCCAACCCTTCTCGCTGGGCAGTGGGGAGGGCAGCAGGTGCTCACTACGTGCGTGGTTGGCAGAGAGCCTGCCCGGAGCCAAAGTACTTTACGTGTCGTTGGTTAAAAGTGTTTCACGAAGCGTTGCATTTTCGTCCACGGACCGTGATAGTAAACGGTATTGAAAGCAGAAATGTAACCAATAAATGGCATGTTTATTGTGCAAGTAATATCTCATTTATTCACGGATCGTTTATACGCACACGCACATTCCGATATAAATAAATGTATATATGCATATATGTATATATATGCATATATATATATGCATATATGTATATATATGCATATATATGCATATATGTATATATATGCATATATATATATATATATATATATATATATATATATATATATATATATATATGTAGGTATAGGTATATATGTATTGCTGACAACTTGACATAAATAATACACTGCCTACTTCATTTCATTGGCAAACTGCCGCATAATTCACGACGAGCTTTTCGCGCCTCACGACTTGTGCCAGTGGCGCACAATGCAGCGTTGCAACGCCTCTTTTTACACCTCTGAGGTATGCATGTCTGTACATGTGGATATGTATATTAACATTTATGCATGCTTAATTAAAAATAACAGCATTAGCAAGCTTCTTGATGCATCTTTCGAGGCTCCCAGTACACACGCAATGCGACATCCGATATCACCGGGGACATTAAGCTGTTTGGGCGTCTTGTTCTCCCCGGTCCTCGATAACGTGAATGGTATTTCTCTCGGTTGCTTTTTTGTCCCACCAAAACGTTGGCTACAAAGAAGGGCAATGGCCGTGGCAAGAAAACTCATCAACGCCGACACCCAGAGTCGAACAGTCGTTCCTGGTAACGAGTCGACCAGCAGTATTCGTGGGTCCGACGCGCTGCCGCTGGGCACCAGTTGTACCGCTCGCACCGTGCCGTCATCTCTCGCCGTCTTGGTCGCCTCGTGGGCGGCGATTTGCTCCGGTTCGGCGGGGGGCGACGCGACCGACTCTCCGGCGCGTCCTCTGGCTCCGTGGGCAGCTTGTTTTCTTTGCGGCTGGACTCCCGGGCTACCCCGACATTCGTGCGGCGGCTCGAGGCTGGGCGGTGTGGCGTCGACGGCTGGCCTCCGTCGCAAGGACTGGCTGCCGAACACAGCCGGGTCCGCGCTGTCCCCGCTGAAGAAGCTGCTCACGTAGGTCAAGCTGACGTCAAGTGGGGTCGGCTCCGGGATCACCTGCGAGGTTACGACACACATGCTTCATTTGTTGTTGTTCATTGGAGTTTTCGGGCGCGTCGACTGCGCCAGGGACTAGTTGTATAGATGGCTAGACAGAGCAGTCCAACCTGGACTGAGGTTCAGCTGTGATGCGACTAGAGAACGATCAATGGAGAGCTAACGGTGCGTCTGCCAAAAGCCAGGGGCATAAAACAATCCTATTGCCTCTGGATATATCCTGCCGTGAGTTTCACACGGCAGGACTGTGACATGCGAGCAGACGTACCTGGACGGCTCGACTGACTGCCGGGCCGCACTCGGTGGCGCCAGCTGTCGGCAGCGGCCTGCCCCAGAAGTTCGGGTTACCCTGGAAGGAATCGCGGGAATTGATGGGCCGCAGATGGGCAACACCGACTACGCATGGAGCAGCACTACGTTCCGCTAGCAATAGGATATATTGGAACAAACCCGTGCTTAGACGGTGTCAGCCACATTCGCCAACGACTTCTGAGCAGGGATGGGGTGACAGATGGGGGAAGCGTCACAACTCTGCTTGGTGCCGGACTTCCGCATATAGCCGACCTGGACGCCGCAAAAATCCAACATAGCCTCGATCAAATTGTGTGCATGCTGTGGCAAAGGCCACGTTTCTCTCAAAGTGGAACGTATGTGCATTTGTCGTGATGCATGACGCACGCGCATCGCTCCGCATCTGAGAGCCTTGCGACTTGCACCGAAGCCTAAGCGTTGTCTGGTTTACACACCCCGGGCATCGGGCGACGTTCCAAGCCCAGTTCCAGGGGTGGTGAACGTATAATTTTTGTCGTTGATCAAACTTCTGGAGGAACTATTG